TGCTTCTTACTTTAATGTCATTGTGATACAGGGACCTCAGTCTATACATATCAGCATGAATAGTGAAATAGAATCTCAGGGCTCATGTTTTTCTGGCTGTTGTTATCGGAAGAGATTTAATGCACTTCATCAGCTTGGATCAGTACAGCCAAAGGTTGACTAGCAAACACTGGACCAGCAACCTAAACATATGACAGATACATCAATGTAATTATTCTGCATCTGTGCGTACATCCAAAGCTGTTTGTCCATAATTCATGCTTAGCACTACCCTAACCACAGATTGTTTGGCAACAGAATCTGCCGAGTCAGGAGTTTGGTGCCAGTTTGGGCTGCTGCCTGTTGCATTTTCATGGCATTTTATTGATTTTCTCCTGATAGGCCTCATATCGTGCTTCCCCAAGTGGCCAGTATGTGCTGGGAGTGGAGATGGGCTTGTGGCCAAGCTCTGATATCCGAATAGGCAAGGACAATGGTGAAGAGTGTCCTCTGACCTGCTGTGGTGATGTGGATACTGTCTTCAGTCTGTTCACTGGGTATTCAAAAACAAATCTGAATTTTCATAGAGCAACCTCTAAAATGGTTAACAATGGCTCATAGACTTGAAAAGACGAACATACCCAAAGAACATTGAAATATCAAGAATGATTACATGAGGGTACATACTCAATCATGGCTTTACAAATTATTATCCCCCGTCACTGAATGAAAGTCCGATGCTTATCTAAGAGATACTTGTCAAGACTGAGTTCGAAATTATTTCTTACAGAGTTATGTCCTATGCTTTTCAGCTTACTGCATAGTGTCTGCAATGGGGGCAACTTTTCTCAGAAACCACGGATATTTAGTTTATTTAGTACATGAATGAAACTTTGCATGCTTATCTATGAGATAGTTCATCTCATCATACACAGTTACGGCCTTTGACCCATGTTATTTTACAAAATGCATAGTGTCTGCAATGGGGACAAGTTTTCTCAGGAACTACTGAAGTCAACTTATCTAAAAGATTCTTATCATGACTGAGTTCGAGAATTGGTGCCATAAAATATTTTTTTCCAGAGAATATGTGTGTTTCTGTGTATTAATTTCCCATTTAATCTTTTTTTTTTGATGACATAAAGCAACCCTAGTGCCTATCTCTTCCAAAGGCTTTGCAAGACTCATTTTTTATAGTTTATATTCACTGCTATATGAACAAACAAAATTCGTACGTGCTCCATGTCCGGGGATAGGGATAACACTGTTTTCTTGTTAGCATTACCTTTATCACATTCATCAATCATTTCATATTTGGTTTCCAGTGAATGTGTTAATGTATAATATTTCAGAAGTTCACAGTGTTAAATTCTGATACAAATGAAAAATTAGACTACAGTAGGTAAGTCCAACTAGAGAATGACTGACCTTGTTTACTTGATTTATAATCTTTATTTGGACAGATATGTCAACAAGGTTTGGAGGAGCAATAATAATGTCTAACATGTTCAACCTAGATCGATGAGGCCTACAAGTGATATTTTGTAATGTCTTCTGTGCAATACTTGGTGTCTCCTGCGGCTACACTATGGGAAGCATTGCGAAATGTTGTATAAATCAAAATGCTTCAGTCACCACGTTATTGTCACTATATAATTGGAGGGGAGTGTATATGTTGCCGGCACCCTGTTGTCAAATGAGTTAGCTAAATGGATTTAGGTGTGGGCTCTGTGTACCCTAACAGCGTTGGTCATTGCTCATAATGTTAATCACTGGTTTGTGTGGGCCAGGCTCAGTTATGTTTGTTTGTTTGTTTGTTTGTTGTTTAACACAGCACTCAGCAATATTTCAGCTATATGACAGTGGTGCTTAATTATGTATGGGCTGCTGTCATATTGACAGAATATTGCTGACTGCGACGTTAGACAACAAAACCAATAGTTCACAAGCCCTGTTTTTGGCATAACGATTCTCAGTATCAGTCTGCGATTTGAACCACTAGTTCGAAGACCAAATCTAGTAAAAGTCTGTTTGGTCAAGTAAACTCAGTAAATGTCCATATGATAACATTTAAACCTACTTATATTAGGGTCATTAGACTCAGACTGTAGTAACCCATGCTTTAAATTCCTGTTGTGAGACAAAGAGGTGTGGAACAGACTCAAATACAAATTGGTTTGGAGTTTAAGGTGGGCCACCAAAATTTTTGTTCTGTTTCATTGTAACCTCAGGCATGGTTTTATGAATGTAAACCGCAGTGAATCACAAGTTTACCTTCTGCTTGCTAGTGCTAGTGCTGGTGTATAGCCCATGTAAGATAAACATGGTAGTTGTGTAGCAACTGTTTGATAACAGTAATAATCATTAGTGATCATATGAATCACATGAACTTGTTTATCATCCTGATTATGTGATAACGATGTCAGTCTGTGACACTACAACCAGTCTGAACTTGTGTTTGCATTGTTTTCAGTAGATTGTAGTCTTACTGTGTGGACGTGTATCAATATACGTGTATATTATATTACAACGAAATATTTTTTGTTAGTCTTCAGGCTAGGTTAGGGATGGAGGGTGTAGCCAAGTGATTAAAGTGTTAGCTGCTACGCCAAAGGCCCGGGTTTGATTCCCCACATGAGTACAATGTGTGAAGCCCATTTCTTGTGTTCCTGTCTGTGTAAAACCATACTCACTCACTTGTTTTGTGGCTTAAGCATGTCAGTCTCCATTACAATAGATGAAATGTTTATGGCATGTGTGGTAACCATGTCAACCATGACACTTGTATAGGATAACATATGACAGTTATTTATGATCCGTGTGGGATCACCATGACAACTGTTTATTCCAGGTGTGGTAACCATGACACTTGTATGGGATGACATGACAGCTATTTATGATCTATATGTGATCACCATGACAACTGTTAATTCCAGGTGTGGTAACCATGACACTTGTATGGGATGACATGACATCTATTTATGATCCATGTGTGATCACCATGACAACTGTTTATTCCAGGTGTGGTAACCATGACACTTGTATGGGATGACATGACATCTATTTATGATCCATGTGTGATCACCATGACAACTGTTTATGGCATGTGTGGTAACCATCGTAACCATGACAATTGTATGGGATAACATGTGACAACTATTAATGATACATGTGTGATCACCATGACAACTGCCCACGAGTGATGACAATGACAACTGCATGGCTAATGGAGGGATTCATAACTGGGTGGAATCCTAATCCATTTGATTACACAAACTGCTCCAAATTGTCCAATGAGCAAATAACTGAGGCTGCAGTGAAATTATCCCATGAGTTTAGTAGTCCTCATGACATTACAACATCAGACAAACAAAAGTTGCATAGTGCTGGATTTAGTGTTTAGCAGATAGTATGTGTCTGTGAACAAACAAAATCATTAATGTGTAAATATCTGTACAATTGTGTTTGATTTGAAAGGATGAGTCTATAGAAGCAGAAAAAAACGTCAGTATATAGAGTTTTTGTATGTAACATTGTTGTCCATATGGGAGAATGTGTCTGAATCACCAGCTTACGCCCAGTGTGATAGATTTAGAATGTCAGCCTTGATGATGAGAGGTTGTTATGGCCTAAATTGGTAGCAGTGGGATAATTTGCCTGGTTGGGACTATTAACCTTAGGAGTCATGCAGCCATTTCAGAATATGCTCTGTTTGAGTTAGGTCAGTTCACTTGTATCAGTAGGTGCCATATTTTTGCATGAAAGTCTTTGCAAGGATTTATCTTCCTTGTCAGAGGCCAATTTTCAGCCCCGACAAAAATTCCCAGTAAAAATATCCCACTTCCTGTTAGTATAGTTATTATTAATGTTATGACAAGTCTACTGACTTTGGAATCCCAGATAAATCTCTTTGTTTTGACTCTTCAATGGTCAAAGTCATGCTCAGCCATAAACAGAACTTCTGACAGTTGATTTGGAGGTCTGTAGTCTGTCACCAGCTTTTAGTGGCTCCTAAGAAAAGTCAACATTACGTATAACCATCTCTGCCTGGCGACATTCCAGTAGGTGGCCCAGATGATAAGGTGACACTTCTTGCTGCGCAGTCGAGTTCCTTTGTCCTGCCAGAACCCGATGATCATTGGTTTGAATTTTAATTTTGCCCTGGCGAAATTATTCACTTACCACTTACTTCCCAAGGTACAACTGAAATAGTTTTCAAAGAATCATTACCCCAGCTCACACTCTGACTTTCTGTGCTGATGATGGACAAAATTGAAAGTCATTGCTTGGTATTTTAAAGGTTAAACTTGGATGAAAACCACTTTTTTTAATTGGCCATAAGAAGTATTTTGATATCTGTGCAGCTCAATATAAATATGCCAGATTCTTGTTGTTCGTATATCATAGTTGATAGATCTTTGTAACCATGGTTACATGTTGTCACTCATTATTTTAATAGTTTAACATTTGCATGTTTATTTGGAAAATGGTGCTGGTAATATCATTCTCATGTATTTATTTCCTGATTTTGTTCTGTTAATGTCTCTTGTCACCATTCACCATAATGCTATTGTGAACACATGATGATGTAACTATTGTAAATATACCATAAGTTTTGTGACCAAGTAAATAAAGTGAATTTGGTATTTATTTGGATCAGTTGAATTTTTTTTTTTATTCAAAGTATATTACTGGTGTGAAATGTTGGCACAATTATAATCAGTGAATGTAAGGTTACCAGATTTTAACTGAATTAACTTTAAATTAATTGTTAAAATTTCCCTTATTGTAAACAAAGTAATAGAAAATGTATTTTTAAACCTTTGAACACAGTTAAGCCCACAGCTTGACAATTGATTATCAATCAAAGTTATTTATTATTATCCTGAAAGTAATTGATGTTTCATGAATTTAAAATAATTTAGGACAAATCTTGTTTCATACATTTACATTAATGGTGTTTCATGCTGGAAGCAAACTTTTATCCAATAAGGTGAACAAGGTATGCTTGTTGGTCCCAGGTGAAGATTCAGGGAGGAAACAATGCAATGCTACAATCTGCTTGTGAGCTGTTCCTTGGGAAATCTGAGACGGAGATCCGCAATGTTGCCCAGGAAACACTGGAGGGCCATCAGAGAGCCATCATGGGCAACATGACTGTCGAGGTGAGTACAGAGTGGGGCATGTCACTTTAGATGGGGGGTCTTACGGATGGGATGGGACAGGATGATACATAATGATACATAATGATACATCATGATACATCATGAATAAGTAGCGGGTGCATCGGTGGATCGCGATTTTTTACTTCACAATACAAGTATTGATCACAGTCTCACACTAAGTTAACAGTATTGATTCTTACCTTACATGTATTCTTTTAACAAATGTTACACCGAACTCCAATTACTATTGAAAATGAGTAGTGAAAAGGTAAATGTTTTCATTCATTGCACGATATCATGTATATCATTAGCGTGCCAGGTTTTTGCATCCTGTCTATGAAAAGAACCTCTTGTGCTCATATGAGTTGACTACATGGGGACAAGTGTACAATTTCTAACTTACACACCATTCTTTATGATGTTGTATGGCAGGAAATCTACAAAGACAGAAAGAAGTTCTCAAAGGCTGTGTTCGAAGTGGCATCATCTGATCTTGTCAACATGGGGATCTACGTCGTGAGCTACACACTCAAGGACATCCGAGATGAAGAGGTATATGCGATATACAAATACATGATGTTACAATATGCGCAGTGGGGACCGGGCTTACGGAAGATCCCCAATACTCTGATACTTGTCTGAGATGCTAAATTGGATTGATTATCAGGCTCTGTGACCGGGCATGTCATAACATTTGATATAATGACCTTTTTTTACCATTGGTTTGTCAGGCCCTGACATGCAATGAAAATAGATATATTATCAAAACCATACAGTCAGTAGTGCTAATGGTGATTAGTAATTCTTTATGAAATATATTTTGAGCCTCAGTCATTCCAATTATTCCTAGTTGCCTCGGCATGTTATCTCTACATGTACCCGGTCAGGCTCTCTGACTTCGTTGATTCATGTCATCGTATCCCAATTGTGTGGATCGATGCTCATGATGTCAATCACTGGATTGTCTGGTCCAGACTTGATTATTTACAGACCGCCATTATGTAGCTGGAATATTGCTGAGTGTAGCGTTAAACAACAAATCAGTGTTGTTACTGTCAGGCTGCATGATCCAGGTGAACATACATTTCACCCCGTGAAGATTCAGAGTAAAATTGGTCTTCAGCAACCTGTGCTTGTCGTAAGAGGCGATTAACAGGATTGGTTGATGCATGTCACCATATCCATATTGCATAGATCGATGCTCTTGATGTCAATCATTTGATCGTCTGGTCCAGACTTGATTATTTACAGGGGCGGTCGGGTAGCCTAGTGGTTAAAGCGTTCGCTCGTCACGCCGAAGACCCGGGTTCGATTCCCGACATGGGTACAATGTGTGAAGCCCATTTCTGGTGTCCCCCGCCGTGATATTTCTGGAATATTGCCAAAAGCGGCGTAAAACCATACTCACTCACTCACTTGATTATTTACAGACAGCTGAGTGAACAAATGTTAGTGCCAGTCACTAGGCTGCCAAGTGTACACTCATTGTAGGCATCCATGATAAAGCTGAAATAGTGCTGACTTCACCATGAGATTCCACTTACTCTTGCGCATTGAATTAGAAACGCTTTTACTGTTAGTAGGTAGTTATGTTGCATAAAGGTGAACGATTATGTAACGATTTTACACCAAAAATGTTAGTTAATTCATATTTGAAATCTTATTTTTAATAACACATCAAGTCATTTTCAGCTTGCTTTTATTCCTGACAATGGACACCATCATGATAATAATAATTTATTTCCTTTTATTTTGTATTTCTTGACCATGCCTGTGTATGTATACTGAACAAAAGAAGTTAAGGATCATGAATATTTTGGGGGTTATTTTTATGAAATTTTGTGCTCAGTCTTCACTGCAAAAAAGTATCCCTTAAAATATTTGTGATCCCTAACTTTGTTTGTTCAGTTTATATAAAGACCACCAACTGAGAGTTCCATGTTGTATATTTAAGGGAAGTAAGATATTGTGACATTTGGATAACAATGTACAATTGATAGCTTGTAATATAACAACATCAATAACAATATTGGCATCACTTGTTGAAAGGATAGGTAGGACGAAAGTAGACATGTAAGTAGTTGTATTGCATGTATTTCTAAGGGAAATAATATCAAAGATAAAAAAATTCTGAATGTCATTTATTTGTTTTATATCATTTCAATATCTCAATGCCCAGTCAGTGATTTAGTATCAACAATAAAATTATCATTGAGTATCATTTATCAGTTTATATGATTTGGCTATCTCTTTGCTCAGATGCTGTTTTCCATAAGGCTAAGTAGCACTTCAGAATGTAGTCATTGCCAGGAGGCAAGTAGTGATAGTCCATGTTTGTGTCTCACAAGTGAGCCAGATCTATGCCATAGCAAGTATGTGTCTTTACAGGGGTATCTAAGAGCTCTAGGTATGAAACGGACAGCTGAGGTCAAGAGAGATGCACGTATAGGTGAATCTGAAGCGCAACGTGACGCAGGCATTAAGGTGATGCAATCATGCACTGTGTGTGGACACCACACGCTTCTGTGAAGGTTCATGCTCTGTATCATATTTATCACTCTCATCCTCATCAATCTTGTTGGTGGTGGTTTTTGTCATAGATCAAAGATGGCTGTATAGAGTTTGACGTCAGCAAAACATGATGAAATTCATACTTGCGATATATTCTGAAAAAATATTCAGTGGTGTACAGATTCTCACATCAACTGTTTCATAAAGGAGTGGTGGTTGTAAAAGTTGAACTGCACTTTCAAGAAGTAGATGTATTGTGATGCTGATTGTTAGGGTCAGAATTGCAGCCATCTTTGACATCAAGTTCACATAGTCTGTCCAGCTCATTGAACCAGAAACGAGACAGAGGGCACCACCAGACATGCACATGTTATATTTATCAAACATTCTTTCCACGATTACTGTTTTCTTGCCTAGGGTTATTTGAAAGCCTTAGGTATGGCAAGAACTGCACAAGTGAAACGTGATGCCCGTATTGGTGAAGCTGAAGCGCAGAGAGATGCAGGCATTAAGGTGAAATCATGAATGAAACTGAAATTTGCATTTGTTGTTCAAGCTTGCATGCTGTCAATTTAAATTTGGCTATCTTTGAATTCAAAATTGCAAATCACCGAATTCAGTTTTGGAATCTTCATATTCAAATTTGAATTGCTTAAGCTATTATTTGTCATACTTTTAAAAATAAAAGCTGATGACAATTATCATGTTTATGAGAATGTGTTTTAATAAGAAAATGATAGTTACAATTTTTCTTGCTTTTTTTTCCATTCTAATATTTATGTTTTCAAAAAAACTAAATAATATTTTGCTGAAATTTTCATTGGATGTGAAGTTTAATTTTGAAGAAAAAAACAGCACATACTTCAACACCTCATAAACATACAATAAACAGCAAGGCATTGACTTTGTTGTAGAAACATTATAGGAGTAATTTACACATCCCTGTACAGAACAGATGGACTGTTTACGTGTTTACTTGATAAAAGAGACAATTAAATTTTGCTAGCATTGTGTGTAGGTGTGTTCAGGCATGTTCATTTGAATATTTGTTACTGTCACCAAAATCTGCACCACAAGCTGCTCTACTCACTCCCTGAGCTTCGACAGTCACCTCAGCGACCCTCCTAACTCCTAACACATAACCAGGTTATCATGGTTAAAGTCCAGGTTATATTTTGGTACTAATTATTAATTTGGTACTAAATGCTAACAGACATTGAATCCTCAGTTAACAACACCCCTCCTCCAATTTATGCTACTCATCCTTTTATGGGAACATTTCTGTTACTATGTGATTCATAAACTATGAAGTAATTATTCTATGCACACTGTCCGGTCAGCTTCAGTGACCTGGTTGATAACATGTCATTCTACCCCAATGGTAAGGGTCGTTGCTCGCAATATTAATTACTGGATTGTCTGGTCCAGAAGCTAGTATTGACAGACAGCCGTCATACAGCTGGAATATTGCTGTGTGCGGCGTTAAGCAACAAACAACCAAAACTTCAGTGGTTATTGCATTTGCCTGACATGCCGAAAATATGGGTATGATTCTCAACGTGTGAAGCCCATTTCTGGTGTCCCTCTGCTGAGATTTGGCTGAATATTGCTAAAAGTTGCGTAAAAAACAAACTCACTCACTCCAGATGTTACCTTATTTCTTCTCTATACTTTCATTCTGTCACAACTGATCGTGACTTCTTGTGTTCTTCGGTCACAGCAGATTGATTGCTCACATTTGGTAAACTTAGAACAGTTCTTTTTCAAACTGTTCTGGATCTTATCCTTCTTTTACAAGCATGGTCCTTAATCCATCACATAAAGTACAACACCCATGTAATCAGATCTTTGACTCCTTGTATACTCTATTTGAAGATTTGATGACATCCATAGGAAGTCATCTGGATCATCTCAGATAAACTTTAACCAACAAATCAGTGTCCAGGCTTCTCAACACTATGAATGCGTGAAGCCTTCAGACCAACATATATGATCATTGTATCTCAAAAATTAATTTAATTGGCCTTTTTTTAATGTAAATTTGGCATTATCAGCACAATCTGAGCACCATGATATAATATATTTATTCTGTGGGGGGTTTCATTTCTGGATTGAGAAATAATGCCAAAATGTTTTAGAAAGCCAGCTTCTGATTGGCTCAAGAACCAATGCGTCATACATTTCGATTGGGATGTGTCAACTTTTGTCAAGGTTCACCTGATGCAACCTCTGATTGACATAATGGAGGTGGCCTAAGCGTGTGTTAATGCAGAGAGAGATTATATTGGAGTAAGAGATCTGATATTGAAATTCACCCACACCCTCAGCCATACAGTTTCATCATGTTCATTGCATGTGTTGGTGTATATTAGCAGTACATCTTTTGTACTGTTGCATTGTCAGTAGCAGTGAGGATTTGTACTGTTGGTCCCAGAACCATGGCTCAGTTCCACAAGGTGATCTAAGAGCTTGCAAGTTCCATCCCTTGAACTGGGACTGGTAATTTATTACAGGGGTTGATGGGTCGGAGGGAATCTATGGTAGGACTAAGGCTGGGTAACTCGGGTACTCTGGTCGGATGGGTCTTGAGTAGGACCCAGGTACCCACAGGACTACCTGGACCCGTGGTTAGTCACGTGATATATTGTTTAATGACAAGAATTATCTAAAACTCTATGGTTACACTATAAGTCACTAATGTTCTCATTTCTTTCTGACAATGCACCCTTCTGACTTTTATATGTTTGAATAAAGATAAAACTTCATGCAGTAAACTTCAGTGTTGCATGACCAGATCGTTTACATGTGTCTCTAAATACATTTTGCCAGGGCTAAGGTCAAACTTTTCCAAATCGGAGTTTGTACCTATCTCTAAATATCTACAGCAGGTACCCGGGTAGGGTCGGGTAATAGGGTGGTGGGTATCCGGGTAGTAAATTTGGGCCTTGGTAGGATCATGAAAATAATTCACCTTTAGGGGAGGTTCATGAAAAACAAAATATCATGTACTTTTGCTTTTTGTCTTTTCAGGCAGGGTCATGAAAAAATTATGGAAGGACATGGGAGTGTCTTCCAAAAATATGACTAGCATTGAGGGAGGGTCATTATTTTCACTATTTTTTGCATCAAAAACCTCTGAGAAACCCACTCCACGTCTCCACGTCTCCTCCTCTCCTCCCCTCCTCTCTCTCTCCTCTCTCTTCCTGCCCCCCCCCCCCCCCCCACACACACACACACACACAAACACACACACACACACACATCCCCACCCTGTAATAAATGGCTGGTATCTTAGGACTGCCAGGATCTGTTGATCATGAGTTTGAATCCCAGATTTGTCCTGAATATGATCCTTGCTTTGTCAGCACCATAACCATGCTTGTAGTTTCTACCAAAGTGGTAAACGTCTAAGACATGCATCCCTTCTGGCTTTTCTCCTATGTCAAGCTGACACACCATGATGTAGCTGAAATAGTTTCCAAAGCAATGCTAACAAAAAAACGACTTTGTTTGATTCATGGCTAGACAAGTCAGTGAGTTACTTCTCTGCCCATTTCCATATCTTTCTATGTCAGAGTTGATTTTAGTACTGAAATTCAGGAAATACACTGGATTCTTGAACCAAGTCCTAATGTCAAAATCTAAAACAAAAGAAATGCTGATATCTGCAACCCTTACTCTTTGAGGTACTGTAGTGTCAAAGTAAATGGGGGTCCCAATTCGTAGCAATTATAAACCTAAAGTTTTGATGTTTTAATCTTCATCCCTTCTTTAATTCTCTTTTGTCTCCACATAACAGGAAGCCTATGCAGAAGAGAAGAGGATGGAATCTCGTTTTGCAAACGACATCGAGATTGCCAAGGCACAGAGAGATTTCCAGCTGAAGAAGGCAATGTATGACATGGAGGTCCACACAAAGAAAGCCCAAGCTGACTTGGCCTATGACCTGCAGGTGGGAGATCTGCTCAACTTGTCCTATCAAATATGTAGACATTAAGTTGACATGCTGGCTCTAAGCAAATAATCCCAGCACATGACAATCTTCTCATCCTTGTTAGAATCCCTTTCTTTGCAAACACAGAACAGCCAGAATATACTTGCTCATAACATCAATCACCAGAATTGTCTGGTTCAAACTTGACTGTTCAGAGGCTGCTGTGATATGCTAGAATATTGCTGAGTGTGACATTAAATGAACCAACTATACTGAGTGTTAAATAACTAAGAAAGACAAGAAACACAGATATTTATTTGAAAATAATATTTTGATATTTCACGTTAACATGCCACCGCTACATTGTGTAACATTACGTTTGATCTGTGTCTCCAGGCTGCTAAGACGAAGCAGCGCATCAAGGAGGAACAGATGCAGGTGACAGTAATCGAGCGTTCTCAGCAGATTCAAGTGCAGGACCAGGAGATTGTGCGCCGAGAACGAGAACTGGAGGCCCAGGTTCGCAAGCCTGCCGAGGCTGAGAAGTACAGACTAGAGATGATTGCTGAGGCTAATAAGTGAGTCTTGAACATCTTTGCCTGTTACTTTCTGTCTTTGCAGTAGTCACAGGTGATCCAGTTGTCTCAGGCACTGCAATTCGCTGTCAGAGTTTGAATCCCTGTTCGTCCCAAATTACATTTCTAGTTTTGTCAGCACCATACTTGTGCTTGTGAGAGGTAAACATCTGAGACCTGCATGACTTCAGGCTTTCTTCCTACATTAAGCTGAAATGCCATGATATAACTGGAAAGCTGTTCATAGAGGCGTTAAACCCAGCTCACTCACACACTCTATCTTGGAGTATATTTGTGTTGTAGAACAGTGTGTGTTTTCTTCCAGGAACCGAGTTGTGATGGAGGCTGAGGCAGAGGCTGAGTCAGTCAGGGTAAGTTGTATCTTATGTGCAAGTGATGGTCTGACTCAAAAAGAAACATTTGTACCATTGATAAACCCTGTAGGAATTCCTGGTAAGAACAGGTCCCAACTTAAGCTGGTTGTAAGAGGTGACCAAATGGATCAGGTGATCAGACTCGATGACTTGGTTAATTGCGTTTCATTGTACTCCAAAGCGTGGATCGTTGCTCACAATATCAATCTGCCATCATATAGTTGGAATATTGCAGAGTGTGACATGAAATAAAAAAACAAACAAACGGTTTTTGATGCAATATTTTTATGGAGTAGAAGAACCTAATCTGAACTTATTTTCTATCAGCAGCAAGTACCGGTAATATTTCTTATAAAAAGAAACAAGTATTGAATTTGATGTGTGATGTACAAAAGATGTCATACAATTGGTTCTTGGAAAGTATGTATAAGAGCATGAAGAGCAGTTGTGTTGAATATGTTAATTGGATAGTGTCTCCTTAAAAGTCGCAGATAAAATACTGTACTGCTGGCATAATTCATAGTTCCTTAAGAAAATTTCTTTTGCAAATATATACCATAACCTGACCTGTGTGTTTGTGTACCAGATGAAGGGAGAAGCTGAAGCCTTTGCTATTGAGGCCAAGGCTCGTGCAGAGGCAGAACAGATGGCCAAGAAGGCTGATGCCTGGAAGGACTTCCAGGAGGCTGCTATGGTGGACATGGTTTTGGAAACACTTCCAAAGGTAGGGGATGTGTTCATAGGTCTGGGTGGCATGGGGAGGCCGAGTGATCCAAGCTTTCACTGGTGGATTGTGTCCCCAAATGGGTACAAAGCCTGTTTCTCCTGTTCTGCGTTGATCTGGCTGGATTATTGGTGTGAAACCATTATAGTTATATATCTGGTGCCTATTTCCATGATTTTCCATTGGTAGCTTTGTGGTTAAGGTTTTGGCTTGTTGCACCGAAAACCGAGGTTCGATTCCCCACATGTTCTAAGTTAGTATGTGTTAATCCCATTTCTGGTTTGCCACTGTTAGAGTGATATATACTACTCAAAGAAGTTAAAGAATACCTGATGTTTTCATATGACTATAGTTAATCTATCATGACTGGTGGGTATTTGAAACACAGCCTGACAACTGTGGGTATTTTTAACCTGTTTTTAGTAGTATGCATCATTAAAAATCGGGTTGCAGAATAACAATGGGTTTGGAACATAACTATATATTTCATAAGGTTCCTGGTCCCCTTTGAGATTATCAATATATGGTATTTTTCTCAAGATAAAGAGTTTTGTTTAGGCGAATGCATGGTTATGTATTGTTGCATTTACCATGCGCAGTAGCGTGATTAATGTACAGGAATATTCTGACGATAAACTATCCTTGTTCTCAGCTGGCTGCTGAGATCTCTGCTCCGTTGACAAACACGAGGAAGGTTACCATGGTTTCCAGTGGCAAGGGTGAAGTTGGCGCACTAAAACTGACCAATGAGGTGATGGGTATCATGGAGAAGCTGCCCCATGTTGTGGAGAACCTCACTGGAGTCAACATTAGCAGGGTGAGTACACATGGCCTTATATTAGCAGGGTGAGTACACATAGCCTTATATTAGCTGTGTGAGTACACATAGCCTTATATTAGCTGTGTGAAAACACATAGCCTTATATTAGCTGTGTGAAAACACATAGCCTTATATTAGCTGTGTGAAAACACATAGCCTTATGTTAGCTGTGTGAAAACACATAGCCTTATGTTAGCTGTGTGAAAACACATAGCCTTATGTTAGCTGTGTGAGTACCCATAGCCTTATATTAGCTGTGTGAAAACACATAGCCTTGTATTAGCTGTGTGAGTACACATAGCCTTATGTTAGCTGTGTGAAAACACATAAGCTTATATTAGCTGTGTGAGTACCCATAGCCTTATATTAGCTGTGTGAGTACCCATAGCCTTATATTAGCTGTGTAAGTACCCATAGCCTTATGTTAGCTGTGTGAGTACACATAGCCTTATATTAGCTGTGTCAAAACACATAGCCTTATATTAGCTGTATGAGAACCCATAGCCTTATATTAGCTGTTTGCGTACCCATAGCCTTATGTTAGCTGTGTGAGTACACATGGCCTTATATTAGCTGTGTGAGTACACATGGCCGCATATTAGCTGTGTGAGTACCCATAGACTTATGTTAGCTGTGTGAGTACCCATAGCCTTATGTTAGCTGTGTGAGTACCCATAGCCTAATGTTAGCTGTGTGAGTACCCATAGCCTTATGTTAGCTGTGTGAGTACCCATAGACTTATGTTAGCTGTGTGAGTACCCATAGTCTTATGTTAGCTGTGTGAGTACCCAAAGTTAGCTTGTATTCTGAAATGTAGATATTCTGCAGTGGATTCTGAAATAATGTTCAAATGCAGTTGAAAATGTTGTGACATATACATGGTGAAGAGTGAATTTTGGTCAGGAATGAGATTTGTTTGTGACACTACAATAGTTGTAATGTGACAACACTTTTTGATTTCAGGCATTGAAGATTTCCCAGCGTAAGGCATAGAAGATTGCCTGTCTGCTTTTCATTCTTGATCAACAAAAGGACACCAATACTCCACCATGAACTTTTCGATAATAATCCAAAAAGATATTCAAGTAACCATGGTAACATATAATCAACAATCGTAAAAGATGTCAACATGAAATCAAACTAAATTATAAAAAGACTTTTTAAGGAAGCACTCTGCATGTGTTTGTTAATTATAATTACTACAGGTGTGTCTTATAAGCTATTTTTGATCCCAGTCATCTACTAAGTCTGTGTGATTAATAGAGCGTTCTATAGCATAATGCATGTCAATCTTACTTCCATCTCTCCGTGTAGAATCGATGTAGAGAAATCATTTTTATATACCCTCCTTTCATTTCATTGTCATTGTACACCACTCAACATTTTTTCTCATCTTTAATGAACAGTTCTTATTTCGAACAATAATAAAATGGTATCAAACTTTATGAGGTTCAGAGTGTTTGAAACGGAGTCTGTGCTTTGTATAATTTCAACAAAATTTGAAAAAATATGTCTCGACAAATTTTTTCTCTATCAGTTCATCACTTGTGAACTGAGTGAGACAACAGAATTGGTTATTTTTGGAGTATTCTGATAGCAGACAATCAGTTGCTTTTATACAGAGCACACACACTGTTCATCGAGACTGTTTATTTGTAGCAAACCATGTGGTATGTTACTGTTTTCTGTAGATTACAGAAAATGGTTTGTGTTGCTAAGAGTATGCAGAGTTATCTGCCCATATTTTTCATCAAGGGCAGATAACTTGTGCATGCATGTTTGCGTTTCTTGATGCGGATGGTTTGGGTTACCAAATAAAGAATGTTCTTGACTGTCAAAAGAATTGAATGATACAGACTTATTAAACAGGCCATTTTGATTATTCAAGAAAACATCATATAATCTGAAATTCAATTTAGTAGAAAACTCTATTGTTGCTTGTTCATATGATTTACCTGAATAGACCTGAACGGTAGTTTAATTACTCTTTTCATATTTGTAGGACACCATGCTCTATATATTTCTCATACAATATGCTAGGCCTCCATTGAAACAAATTTTTATGATTGTTTAACTTAATTTTTGTTTTGAGACATGTTTGCATCGCATTAACAGTGTAAATAACATTCCCATTTCTGATTGAAGACCCAATGCCACCCTGTAGTGCTCATATTTCCATACTCAAGTAGACCTTAATGTTTTTTTGTATATATTTATGTATATCTATTTTATGGTCAAATAACTACATGTATATGAATAGTCAGTTCAACCACTTACACCACAGAACGGGGCACATTAATTTTCATCAAGCATACAACATGATTTGGTTGTAACAAATTCAGTAGTTATGTTGATTAAAAGCCATTAGTGTCCGTTAAGTTTTAACTTGTTTAAGAATAAACTTATTCTTTGATATGAGGTTTGAAAATTATTATTAAACCTTGTGTTTCTGTGTTTTGTGATTGTATTTATTTGCTGAGAATGAACTGGGAAGGTCTTACGTACTGGGATATTAGAACAACAGTGTTTATGCAGACAGATACAAATGGACTCGTACCATGCACCTTCAAAAGCTGGTGTCCCTCCCAGGTCTACTCATAATGTGGAGGTGGATTTCACCATGGCATGGGTTTAATACCCTACACATGTATTCCAAGTTCTATACAATCTAATGAAGCTGAAATAATTTCTTGGTCAGAACCCGACTTGCTCCAATGACGAAGATGAGATTCAGTATGGATAGAACTGAATGTTTGGTGAATTGTTAAAACCCTGTTCCGTTACTCCAGTACAAATTTGAAACATTGGTTTGGCCAGATTTCCATATAATGTGAATATTATTTTGAACATGTTGAAGCTGATTCCAAATTGTCTTGGTCTGCTTGTAATGAAGGAGCTATATACTGAATTGGTCAATATCCCAGTATCCAGTAGGTTAAGGCATCCCAGGTCTACTAAGGATTATATTGTTAAGATGGCAGCATTATGAATATAATTTTTCCTTAAGTTATTACTTGATTCTGATACAAGACGGGAGACATTCAAATTGGTTTTGGGATTAATTAAATTCAGATCATTGCACCCAGTTTCAAATGATGCCACCACAGGATGAGGCTACAGCCAGGAAAGATGCAATATTTTGAGTGAATATTATGACTATTTTGTTTGTAGGCTAGTGCCTCTGTTTGTTTCTCATTCTGAGTTGTAATGAATAGAAGTTATGTCTCTTTTGTGCTTTTGTCTTTTGCAGAAGTTTCAAAATATTGACTTCCAACTGGCAACTTTTCTGATTGTTGTACATTTGGGTTATTCTTATTTTACCTCTCAGACTCTTTTTTTTTTAAATTAATTATTTTGAACAAAAATCAATTAAGATGGACCTTGAAAACACAATATTTTGTGGTTTAGAAAAGTAATAATCACTATTACTATTATCATGATTAGCATGTGTAATTTCCTTTTAATGTTTAACCTATTTATTTTTAGTTGATTATATGATTTTATATGAAATGATAACTATTTACTATGAATAATTAATATTTACTCTCACAACACTCAAAGGTCTCTAAAAAAGTTCTGATTTGATGCTCAAGGTGATATTATTTTCAGGTGTTGGACTGCTCGACTTTTATGGAAATAATTGGAATAATTTGCATGATCACCTACAATGAAAATCCAAACAGATTCTTGTAGTACCTAGTCATTATAGACCTATTCTCATTGATATTAAAAACTTTGCATTTCGTGCCACATGTCTCATGAAGAATTATCATCTTTTCTTCATGGAAAACAAATTTATTAAGAAGCATAATTTTTTTAATCAGTTCCCAATTGTCTCATGTTTAGCAAATGTTACATTCAGTTTCATTCATATGCTTTTTAAGCAGATTTTGTTTTGACCCTTAACTAAAATGAAATCAATTTCATTCATAAGAAGGATGTAAACAGTATGAAAGTAAATATTTTTGTTTCAAATATGTGATGCCATTGCAACTGTTTTTGTTTAGGGAACACTTATCAATCAAGAGTTGGCTCAATTTCCCTTTGGTTGTATGGTTCAACATTGGTTGACTCCTGTCATGCATCAAACAATTCTTCATTCATGTAGTCCTGTTTTCCTATATTTACATTAAAGATGTTAAACCTGAGTACCTCTATGTATCAGAGTTTTTAGCTATCAAGAATGGCATCGTATTTTAGTTTATTGATCAGTTATAATGATGACTTAAGTTGTTGACAGTGAAAACTGATGACAACTTTGAAAAGAACAAAAACATATTTTCCACAAATTCACAGTGGCATATCTTGTTGATAAGATACAACACCATTGTTTAGATTTAAAGCAGCAAGCAAACATGTTTTGTATGTATAATGATTTATCTTCAAAATTGTGTACTCCCAGATGTATTTCAGCTTGGGTAAAATATTCCATTAACAAATTTCCATCAGTTTTCAATATGACAACTTTTGCATTCAGCTTTGAGAATATATTTTAAGCTTCTGTTATATGCCCTGTTCTTTTAGTTGTACATAGCCAACAGCGTTGCACTTATTATGTCATAGATGTATCGAAACCTTGTAAGTGTATGAGTCAGGAGTTTTTTATGTACTCTGAAATTATATGTTCTTCATAAGATTTTCTTTTTACACATTGCTCATGAATTGTGTTATTCTTGTCCTATCAGTATTTGATATTTGTGTATCGATTTTAAGATAAAATCTTCGTAATTATCTAGTTTTAGTTTTATGTCAATGCATGAATATGTGCTCTGATGGAAAAGACCTGGAAGAAATATCTCGAGTTGACTTCATAGAAGTGACATTGAGAAAAAAGTTTTAGTGCGATAGTGACAGAGTTCATAGGTCACACTGTGACAAGCAAACGTTGATGTCGCTGGTGCCGCTGGAGCCGCTGGAAGTACAGATGCTGTTTATGGGAGTTCTGCCTCTTGTACTTGTAGGGGCGGTTATGGTATTGTACATCTCACCTCAACATGAGTCATACATCCGATACTGATCTCACAGGAATTGGTGACTTGTCTTACTGAAACCATTTTGCATTGATTGACCCTTTCCAAATCAGAATGTTCAAAACATCTACAGTCCATGCTACACCTGTCCAAACAGGACAGTTTGCTCCAATGTAATTCCCGACTGACTGACTTTCGTTGCATTAATATCTCTTTCGAATGGACTTATTTGGAATAAGATTGACGCATCTGAATGATGTGTGCGAACATAAAACTTCTTGGTTTATACACATTATGTTCCTCCTTCACATGTGAATACATAGGCTGCTTAAAGAGTCGAACAACAGGATCGGGAAGTCAGGATCGCTGACTTCGTTGGTGCTTGTCGTCGTATACAAATTGCGTAGATTAATGCTTTTGATTTCAATCACTGGATTGTCTGGTTCAGACTTGATTATTTACAAACTGCTGTAATATTACTGATTCTGGTGTTAAATAACAGACAAACAAAACATATGGCCGCTATGCAGTGTTATTGCAGATGGAAACCACTGATGGCCCAGACGATGAGAGCAAAGATTACATCACACAAACCATGTCTTGCTCTACAACATGTGCAACATATTCCGTAGCCTTGAAAGTGTCTCTGCTCTACAGATTGCCTTAGTGTCAGACTATGGTTTGAACCATATTCATGCACAAAGTTGGGGACATTTGACATCCATTTATTGGGGTATTTTATTTTATTTGATATTTGAAAATACAATGCATTTTGGCTGTATGTATTCACGGGTGTTGGAAGAACAAAGTGTATATAAGACCATTGAGTGCTGATGCACAATAAAGGAATGTCCTTCCTGTGAGCATTCCGGGTTAGAATACCTCCCGAACCACCTTAATTGTTGGTTGTAAGAGGCAACCAAATAGATCGGATGGTCATACTTGATGTCGTGTCACTTGTACCCTGACGGTGTGGATGGTTGCTCACAATATCGATCACTGCATTGTCTGGTGTAAAGCAACAAACACACATACAAAGAATGTTGCAGTTCACAAAATAAGTGACATTGTTTATGCGTATAGATAGCTGCATCTTTCACAATGTCATTGTCAAGTTGCTGGATAAATAGACAAAACTTGCTGGGAATGTTGGAGGAAAGTCAAGAGGTTCTCATCATAGTCCTTATGTTATAAATAATGAACTTTATAAGCTCTTGGATGAAATACTATAGCCAAAGACTGCTTTCGAGTTCTAGTGGTAGACCATCAGCCTGGAGAGCTGAGGGTCGGAGGTTTGATCCCTGCCGCGTCACACAAAAAGATGAAAAGATGGTATAAAGTCAGTATAAAGTGTCTGAGTGGGGTATCCATGTTAAACTGCAGCTTGGTATCTGATTGGGCTTGCACTATAAAATCGGCATTAGTCGTGAGTAGTACAAGCAGCCACATGGGCACATGCACGTTGCTTTATAAGTGCAATAATTTTGGACAGGATGTTAAACCCCATTTCACCCCACCTCACCTCCACCTTGCCTCGCCTTGTCTCACCTATCACCAAAATTTCCAAAGCCCTCATGACCCTCTTAATTTCAAACCAATTATATTCTGGTGCAATCTTTCATTTCTTATGTCAGGGATTCTGAAATAAAAATTGGTAATTTAAAAAAAGAAAAAGAAGAAACATTTCTAAACAAAGAATACTTGGAAAGCCTAAATAAGCAGTCCCTAAACAAGTTTGTTTCAAGTCATCCCAAACCGATTTTGTTCATTTGCAAACTCAAATCATATTATTCATAGCTCTCTCGCATTAAATGATAACCTAATCACACAAGTATTTAATTATGATGAATGGACATCACAAACAAATGGTCCCAACATCATGGAGAGTTGTCCCCCTTTACTGCATTGTGCTCCAGAAAACTAGTTCACCATTGTGGGTATTCTGGGATAGAATAGATCACCTACAACCTATGCTGGTTGTACGAGGCAACAGAATGGATTGAGTGGACTTGGTTGATGGTGTGCTATGGCATCACAATATTAATCACTCGATTGACTGGTCCAGACTCAATTATTTACAGGCCGCCATCATGTAGGTGTAATAGTTTGGAATGCAGTGAATCATCTATAGAATTGTTGCATCACATAAGAAACTGAAGGAAACACCCATTCTCCATCATTTGCAAAATATAATAGACACAGACGTACTGAATGATGATGTTTTCTGGAGCAAACATCCTCAGAATAGGATAAACGACAACTTGTACAGCAAACGGCCTGAAGCAGCTGAATGAAAGTTTGCTGGGTATCATGCAACATGATAACATGTCCCCATTTCATCTGGATTCCGCAATCAGTATGTTGATGCCAGCAATACAATACTGGGGTGAAAAACAAGAAATGTAGGTCAATAAATCAAATATAAGAGTGGTAAATGTGTTCTGATTTTAGAGAAAGAGGATTATGAGATTGTGCAGCAAAACATTTTAATTCTAGAAATTATTAAATTCTGAGACTGTGCAGAAAAACTTTTTCATCCAGATTTCTGATTATACTGCAAAATATTTTAATTCCAGAAAAAGGGGAATTCTGTAATTGTGATGTGCCACATGAAGAATTTGGATATTGTGCTGCAAAATACTTTAGTTCCAGAAACAAAGAATTGTTATTATTTTGCAAAACATTGATTACTGAGAGAAAGAATTCTGAAATTGTGCTTCAATTTATTTGAATTCCAGGAATGTAGAATACTGAGATTGATTCTGTGATTGAAGTGGAATCACTTGTTCTGATGTACTGTAATACACCAAAGTCAGAATCTGAACTGGGCCAACCACACATTTTGCAGAATTTCTGTCAGTACTGTAATGGTATTATTTTGGGGCAGTAATTAAACGACGAACAAATAACTGTAGTATTAGGAATTACTGAATCTCTCCTATGAATGAATGGTGAGCAAAATGATCTGTTAACCATCATTCTTCGATTTTAGTATTATATTTTACATATTATTTTAACAAGATTAAATGTCAATACAACAAAGAAACTTTACTGAGGTTAATCGATTATTCCGAAGGTGTGACAATGTCACTTTATCAATTTGTGATGTCATTTTATTATTCTCAAAATGACATCATATAGGTGCAGATGACCAATCAGCATTGAGATATTGCTAAACTGCCCATAAAACACATATCAGAAAATGATAACACTACATCTTGTAACCCATATAGGGAATTTATCATAAAACTACATATGTGATGTCACTTAAGAATCATTTAAATAATCTTCTTTTGACCAACTCATTGTTAAGTGCGATAATAAAATAAAATAATTAATTACAAAAATGGATAGATGTTTTCATTATACTGTAATTTTTTACTGACCCTAAATAATAATTAAAAACAAGTCTGTAAGCCTACAAAAATGTAATGCATTTGCTTAGATGAGAATATGTATTTATTAGATGAAATTTAAAAAAATAAAACAAATAACATGAGCAGTATTGAACACATTATTTTATTTTTATGCACAAGAATTATTGCAAACAAACACACATAGAACTCCTTTATGTATTCACAGACTTTATTTTCATCCAGGATCTCTTCAGGAACCAAAAAGGCTATTTTTTAAGAATATTAACTTTGTGTATATTTGTAGGAGCATACTGAGTCCTCGATTTGTTCTTGTCTGAATATGAAATACATATGTTATCGAAAAGCAATTGTTAACAATTGACAAGTTTAATATTTTCAAGAATCTTCTCAATTCACAAGAAACAAGAACTTCATCAGAATATATGGGACCACAATGTGATTTGGATTTCATCATGGCAGGGAAATGTTACATTTAGGTGTTTTTATTTAATTGAAAATCCATTGTTACAAATTGTCAAAAATATTTTCATCTATAAATCGTATAAAAAAACATTCACAATTCTCGGGGAGCTGATAGTTTCTACTACAAAGGACGAATTCACTCCATAACTTAATGATTATTTGGAATGTGCCTGGTGGACTGCGATGCCTTGGTGCTATATTGATATGAGGGGTTATACAAGTGATAACAGAAGGCAGGGCTTACCGTACATGCCACTTGAGGCGGAGAATAACAGTCGAGAAGTCGAGTCGAGTCGAAGTTGTATATAAGACGGTATAGTTTATCAAAAATGGATTGAAAAATTTAACCGAAATAATATAATTTCATTTATAATCATGTGGTTTTGACTACCATTTAACAAAGAATTGTTGTTCATATCTGTTTACTAGTAGTTTGAAAAAAGGATTCATACAAGAACTACTATGTGCCAAGTTAGCACATTTTTGTAGTGGTAGTGGTTGTTGTGTTGGTGCCCCAGAAAACCTAGCCTAATTTTCAGCAAGGTTAAAGGTGGAGCCTCCTCTATTTTGGTCTTCCTGTATCTCCTAACTCAATCTGGACCAAGGCTTCTACAGCAACTGACACTTGACTTGGGTTGAGTCATTAATATAAACAACAGTAATTAATGAAGAGCGATGTCTTTGAAAGGCACTTAGAGTGAGCGAGTTGGGTTTAACGCCACTTTTAACAGTATTCCAGTTATATCACGGCGTGTCACCGTAATGTGGGAGGAAAGCCCAAAGTGATGCAGGTCTCGGAAGTTTACCACTTTGGTGAAACCCATGAGCCAGGTATGGTCCTGACAAACCTAGAAACATAATTGGGGCGAACTGGGATTCGAACCCACAATCATAGACTTCTGGTGTGCCCAAGGGACACAACTCTGCACAGCGAATCACAGCGCCTTAGACGACTGGGCCACCCATCCCCCTCAAAGGCACTTAGAAGTTGGAAGAACATGAATACATGATACTTTTTAACAGGTAGCAACTTCTTTTATTCTTTGTAACGTTAACGTTTGTAAGGGCTGTGTCTTGCCCCTTCATCGATTGAATTCACTGAAACGTTACAAATAATAAAAGAAGTTGTTGTCCATTAAAACGTGTCATGTATTTAGGATTGAAACAGTTGCACTACTCATTCAGGGTGGTTGACAGTAAATGTACAATTGGGATTAACAATTGGGATTAATACTTGGGATTAACACCTTTCAATTAATGGCTGTTGTTTGATTGCCAGCATACACATGACATGACTACGTGGTAATTAGCCTTTGTAATTATATGTTCATTAAGACAAAGGTTGTCTTGAATAGATCTCTATGACAGTTGTATGCTTTGTTGTTTTTTAAATCTTAATACTTGACATAATTTATGTTTACTTCATGAACACAGAATACATTACCTACTTTACATATTGTATGGACTCAAACACGCATGATCAAAGCAACTCGAGGCACGAGTGAATGGAAATTTGTGAAAATCCATGTTCAGATTTATAGTGATCCGGGTTTCACTGTTACCCGGCGGGTGCTCGTTTCGAAAACGAGGCTGTCGCAAGTCTATTGAAAACAAACTTACACGCTGGACTACCTCAAACAAAATCCAAGGTAAGACAAAGAATATTGTTTGTTTTTTTACAACTTATTCCACAAACTCACCGACAAGATACGTATCGCTAATTACTATATGTACAATCAAAGATACCATCAATAAAATTTGATCCCCGTATTTTGAAGACTTTGATAAATAGATGTTGTGACACTGCTCCCGTGTCATGCCCCTCCTTTTCGGGTTGCCTAGAAATTACGACGCCGTTTCTATGGTAACGCAACGCTCGTTGTGAGTAGATCCCTGTCGTTTTTAAGCGATCGCGTTGAAAATACTCACAAACTGTTATGTTGAAATATTGTAAACAAATAGTTATTCTGTTTTGTTATACAAGCTTTTTTATAGCAGTGTTTTAGTCGTTTTAATATTTAATGGCGAAATGTATCATTCGAGATGATATTTGCCCATTTTCACCGTTTTGTGGTAATAAACTGTCATAATTGTTGCCTTCCGTGTAACACTGATTGAAGATACTGGTATTTATACGTGTCTGGTCATGCTCTACCCTGTTATACGGCGCCACATGTCGGCCAACACTGGAATGTCTAACCTGTCAAACACAAGGGGATGGTTCTGTCAGGATTGTCATGCCAATCCGGTTGATCTCATTTGTATTAATTTCTTCTCTTTATAATTTCGTGTGATTATCTTGGAGGTTACAGCTGATCTTGGTTGCCTGGTTTTAGGTCAAACATTATTCAGTGTTTGTGTAAAAACAAATGCCGACAAATGTTAAGTTGATATTTCGATTGACAGGAGTGCCAGTATGTAGAAAATATAGCTCTTAGACATGTGTTTTAGTCTGCGTATTAGTATGTTAGCCAGGGAGGTAAATTGTTTCTGTGTTGTTGTTGTTATAATTAAAATTTTAAAAATGCATAAGAGAGGGTTTGGTTAAATTATTATTATTATTATTATTATTATTATTATTATTATTATTATCAGTTGATGGCAGCCTACATGAATATCACCATAATCATGCCACTAACAGAACAAACTCAATGGATGATTCTGTCATTTTGTGTCTTCATTTGATCTATATATGCTACTTAGATTTAATGTGTTTCTTTCAATCACGTCAATGTGGGTGAGATTAATGAACTTGGTAAGCATGGTAAGGCACATCATTAATTAAATATTAAACATGAATATTATCCCCAACCTGCCTTCATAATAAATACCTTGACTCCCATCATATTATTGTTCTCAAGTACCAACAGTTTTAAAAGACCCATGAGTATTTGTTTATATATATATACCTAGCTGCAAAACTGCTGGTGTGGAAGTAAGCAGTACACACTTGCTCATTTCTTCAAGAGATTCCATCTGTCGACAGTTAACATGCATGTAACCCTTGATCATTTTCTATATATATGTATTATATGTATTGGGTTGTATGATCCCCAGGGAGCTCAGAATGAAAACTAAGAGCACACTGATCCACTGACCAGTGTTATAATGTTAGCGCTTTGAGCATACACCTTGTGCATGGAGGCTAGCCCAATGTAAATATAATTTGGACATAATCTAATATTTAATTTGTTGTGGGCTGATTATTTTCTTTGAGTATGCCTTAAAAAAAACAGTACCTTGTATTTGATATAATTGAAACTGTGAGTTTGTTATGTTTAAGCTGTCATCTTTTTAAGTGTCCTTATTGTGAGAAAAATAATATGTTGTTCATAGTTTCTTGATTCCCCATTTCGTCATGTTTTTTCTTTCCAAAATTTACTATAAATACAATCTGTCACGACTCAAAGCTTATATAAAGTTATAGTGCTGTTCCTTCATTAATAAGGCCATTTGATCATGATCATGATGATAAGCCCTATAACATGTATAAGACATACTTACAAGGTTGATACTGATTTACCCTGGAAAACAAGATATTAATTTCTTCATCACATATATCTTTATATATTTATTTTTGTTTTTACTTTAAGTGCAAATAGTCATAATAGTAACATTTTCTGCTGAATACAGCATTATTTAAAAAAACCTAAAACATGATATCTTGTAAGCAGTAAAGAACTGCTGTAAATAAATAATAAACAATAAATAAATCAAAGTTTTATTCATTCATGCATTTGGTATTATAGTGGTAAAGCATTTGCTCATTTTGCCTTAGACCTGTATTTGATTTCTTACATTGGTACAGTGTGTGAAACCCATTTTTTGAGGTTCCAGCCATAATATTGCAGTGCACTGCTTAAAACATCTATCAAGATGTTTGTATCATGTTTCTAATATTCGCCCCATTTTGATACTGACAATTGACAGAGTTGAACATTATGTTACAATGACAACCACCTATGTTTGTTCTCTGACTGTTCAGTGCATTCAGTGGTGACAACTTGCTACATAGTTCCTACCTTATGGTGGAACATGGGAGTTACATCACACAGGGCACAGGTCACAAATGCGTTTCGGCAGCTTGGATCCTGCCCCACACTGAACCACAGTACCACATGTAGTGTCTCCTTGTGTAAGGGACTTTGTTCAAGACTTTGACGAACAATAAATACATAATAATCAAGGAATCAAGAAATGGTGGCGCTTTCTTGTAAACAGCATTGATCCTGTGACAGTGAAAACCATGATTCTACATGTTCTAAATTTCTGAAGACCCTTAACATTTTAATAAATTATGATTGTTTGGTAAATCCTTACCATAAATAACAGTGAGTGACAGATTATTTGAAAACAAGTGAGTAAAGGCTTGGGCCTTACACTTTACACAAGAGAAACACATTATCCACATTTCTGAATGTTGAGTAGATTATGATATATGATATCAATTGTCATGTTAAGTTGGTTGGTTGGTTTGTTGTTTTACGCCGCACTCAACAATGTTCCAGCTATATGACGGCGGTCTGCAAATAATCAAGTCTGGACCAGACAATCCAGTGATTGACATCATGAACATCGATCCACACAATTGGGATCGATGACATGCATCAACCAAGTCAGCAAGCCTGACCATCCGATCCAGTAAGTCACCTTTTACGACAAGAATAGTCGCCTTGTACGGCAGGCATGGGTTTGCTGAAGACCTATTCTTCCCCGAATCTTCATGGGTCTGTCATGTTAAGGAAGAAATGGAAGAAATATATGTGGAATGTAAGCACTCTAATAAACTTCAACCCATGAAGATCCGGGTTACAATAGGCCTTCAGCAACCCCTGTTTTTTGTTGGCGACTAACAGAATTGGGTGGTCAGGCTCGCTGACTTGGTTGATGCATGTCATCATATTCTAAATGTGTGTGATTGATGCTCGAGATATCAATCACTAGATTGTCAGTTATATACAGACTGCTGTCATATAGCTGGAATATTGCAGGGGTGCGGTGTTAAACAACAAACAAATCTAATAAACTTCAATGCGCAACATGCTCAATGGACACAGTAAGGCATTACCGTATTCGACGTAATAAGCGCCCAGGGCGCTCTCAAAATTAGAAATAGGGGGCTCTTATTAGAATATTACTTTGGTGAAAAAAAAGAGAGTTGAAAGATAAATTTCGTGGTTTATGCTAAGCATAGACAGCCTGAAATGTTTATGTACGACAGATATATTTTTCCAGAGTTTAATTGCCCAAGATTAACGGTGCATATAACACACGAGTGCGTATTATACACGAAAAAATAAGTCTTGTGTACATTGATTAATCGGAAGGGGTGCCAATCATGCCAATTGGGATTGTTCACTAGCCAATATATTAGCAAATATCGCCGTGGGCGCTTATTAGAGCGGGGCGCTTATTACGTCGAATATGGTACTTTGCTTGAACTGACAAATGAGTTTTTAAAATCTATGAGATGCACATATAGAAAGATTGCAGTGATTGTGCTTGATCTTTTGACCTTTATGCTTAAAACTGGTTTTCAAATATCTGACGTGTCTGAAGCCTTTTATTAGTAATTACAGTGTATGGTGGGTGAAAACCCCATGTAGATTCCAGGTTAGAGTAGGTCCTCAGCTACCTGTGCTGGTCGTAAGAGGCACTTTAGTGGATTGGGTGGTCAGGCCCAACCAGGACATGGTTGATTGAGTACCACAGTACCCTGACAGCCTGGATCTTTGCTCACAGTGTCAATCACTGGATTTTCAGGTCCAGACTCCATTATTTACAGACCACCCTCATTAAGCTAGAATAGTGCTGATCCTTTCATATTACTATAGTTAATCTTTCACGGCATGATCATCATTCTATAGTAATATGAAAGAGTCCGGTGTTCATGAACTTCTTTTGTGTTGTGTATATCATTATGGAATGGATACCTAATAACACCCTGGATGATCGAGGAGGCATCAGAGCTCCAGATAACTTTTTGAGCAATTGAGTTTTTACTCCAGGGCTTCTATTTTAATTGGGTTATTACATTTTTAATGGGTAACAAATATTTGTTCACTTGTCTATTCATCACTCTATTGGGTTTTTCCCAAAATTAGTGAACATTTTAAGATTTAAAAAAATAATAATAATGTTTTAGATGTATATAACTGTTCTAAATATATAGGCTTGACTCGGAAATTAGCTCCTTTGTACGTATGCTGAAAAAGCTTCATTGTGTATTTACGCATACTGTTTATATACATTTGAGTTTTTCATTTAATGCATGCATTTCTGTACGCAAGTTGATTGAAATTAATTGGGTTTTGAATATTTTGTGTGTGTATTTTATGCAAATACGCTGCTTATCTTTAGCTGTAAGGCATTTGTGGAAGGTCCCCAACCTTCCCAATTGGATGCTTCCACCCACCCACTCACCATCTCAAACCCTGAAGATCCGGGTAGGAATAGGTCTTCAGCAACCCATGCTTGTTGTAAGGGGCGACTGATGGGATGTCAGGCTCGCTGTGTAGATTGATGCTCATGATATAATCACTGGATTGTCAGGTCCAGACTCGATTATTTACAGACTGCTGTCATACAGCTGGAATATTGCTGGTTGCAGTGTTAAACAACAAACAAACAAAACTCACAAACTCGTAAC